AAAGCATTCCTCAGACCTCACCAAAGTTATCTAATAATTTATACCTCACCAAAGTTATCTAATAATTTCTAAGATTTCGATTTCTTAAGTCAAATACGTAAAATTCTTAAAAGTTTAAAAAATCTTTAAACAAATGGAAACCAACAATAGATTTTACGAATTTTCAGGCCAAAGATAGACATTTCATAGTTTCCTTTATTCCATTTTTTTATTCAAACACAAATATGTATAACGTTTTATTTAATTGAATAAATGTGCATCAATCCCTGTCCACAAAAACCTCGTCACCCTCGAACAACTCTTAACCAGTCACTCTCTGTTCATCTCTCTTTTTTGCATCCATGGCCCTTTCCTTTCTTTTCACTTTCTCCTTGAATTTTTTATTTGTTTTTCAAAAAATTTTTTACCGTTGCTTCAAAATTTCTCAAAAATCCATAATGTTAATCTTTTACATTAGTATAAATTATATAATAGAACTACATGTGTAAAAGAGTCGAGCCGATTCGTAAATAAGATAAGTAGATAAACGAACTTGAGTTAGACACGTTTATTTAAAATTAACGAACTGCATTCGAATTTTAGTGAGTCGATCTATAAAAAATCGCATAAATTCCCTATTTTTTAACTTAATGAACTGTTAACTAACGACTTCGAAACTAATTTTTGTAAACCCAAAGTTACAACTATTTCTCTTGAATTTGAGTAGTTTCTTATTGTTGCTTTTTGTTTTATTTTCATATTCTGAATTTCGTAAGACCATATAGTATAAATTGTGAAATTTCAGGAAGGACTAGAATATATGTATGTGGGGCATGGAATTGAAGAATAAATGTTTAAAATAAATAGATTGTGAGATGTGGAATGGACTTTAGTTGTGTGGTGGAATTTGTCTTGTGTCCAAGAAAATATCTGAGCACAACAGAACGAAATATGTACCATAAATTTGAGTGGTCAACACGTGGCGCATACACATCTTCTACCTTGAGGTGACCTTTCGAGCCATTTGTTTCGAGATTTTTAGACTGGTGTGTTGCGCGTGATAAGGGCAGTATTGAATTTTCACTACTAATTATAAATTGTTTCGTGTAAAAAATGACAAAACTTATAAAATAGAAAATTTGCCACACGAAATTAGCAGATCTGGAGATGAAGCTCGAAATCTGGAGCTTTATTGCCAATCATTGCTTGTTAACGAAATCCACCCATAAGAGCGTTAAAATTTGATTCTTTTATGAATATTAAAGAGTCAAACTCTACTTATAACAAATCGAGCTAAATTATGAGTTTAAAAATTAAGTGAAACTTTTCATTTTTGAGCTTAATCAAACTGACTAAACGATCCAAGTTGAGCATAAAAACTGGTCGTGAAATTTAACAAACTTTTAGTTTCTTCCATTTCCAAATTTTAAGGAAATAGAGTTATGTAATAGATAGTGGTTATTTTAGAGATTTCCATAGGGTTATGATTTCAATTTTTTATTCTTTCAATTCTGGCATTTTCAGANCTTGTACGATTTTTATTTTTTGGGATGTGTTTTATATCTTTGAAATCATCACATTTTAGCTTTTATTTTACATTTGATTTTAAAAATAGTGATTTGACATTAAACCACCTGATTATAGCATGACCCGGAAAACACGAAGAAGAAGCAATCTCAGATCAAACATTTTAAATTTTTTTTAAAAAATTATTAAAGAAAGGAAAGAAAAAAGAGATAGAAAACATGGAATTTTATAAAAAGCTACGAGGCAATCTGCATATTCACATTCAATGAGCGGCGGAGATGACTTGCGTAAAATCCTAACTATACGTCGCCCCTACAGTGGAAAAAACCACTACGTGTCACAATCTTAGTGGTCTCATCAACAACCACACAATTATGACGATCTGCCACGTGGGCCTACAAGAGGCGGTGGCTATCGGCGGCTCCAAGGAAAGCCACGAAGGCTTCAAAGCGGTTGTTGGAAACATTATATTGTTGTGACTCGCAGATTATTATGAGTAGTACATTTGTCCATTACTACTGGGTGTCTTGGCCAGCTATAATTACATTCACTCATTCATCTCTATTGGACAAGTTATCCTTATTATTGTTTCTTTTTTTTTTTTTTAAATTCAAAATTTTACAGTATAACTTACATATAAGATTGATCAATGTTGTGTGCTTATATACATTTACTTTTTTCAAGAATATTATATATCATCTTATCCAATTTAATCACTTTACATTCTATTATTTTTATTATTATTATTATTAACTATTTTTTCTAATATCTAGTCTATAATATGTTTCCAACCAATATATTGATAAGATTAGGAACATAATGTTCCAATTTATATTCAAGTCTATGATGAATGAATGCTAAAGATGAATATTCGGCCAAGAATACAAACATAAATATGTAAAGAAGAAAATTTCACAAATTATAAGCAATTAGTTAAAAAGATGACATTCAATCTTCATTCATTGATGATGGTCACAATATTTTTCATTTAACATGGCTCATATACCACAATTAGACATGCATGAATCAAACACGGAATACAACAATTGAAAAATATAAATAGTTAGATACCATTGTTTACAATGTTTTTTCAAGCGGTAATATTATTTAAAAAAATAGAAACACTACTGACCATTTTCCTTAATATTACACAGACAACCAAATGGACTTAACAAAACATAACAAATAACACCGCACACAACTTAGGAACAAAAATAAATAGCAAAAATGAACAAAATGCACAATACACAACTTAGAAACAAAAATAAAAATATATGTATACGTTGTCTATTTTGTGATTTGTGACCACAATTTCAGTCGAGTGTTTTCAAGAGATAGTGGTAAAATTGTAATTGAAGGTAGAGACCCGAGAAAAGCATGGGCCATTGCTTTTTTGGGAATTTTGATTGTGAATGATGAGAAGAGAGTCTATGCCCACACCATGATACACTTTGATGAGGCAAATCTCCATCCTTATTTTTTCAGACAATTGGGAGCCACAAATCAATGTTGTAACAGCATTATTAATCTCTCTCTCTCTCTTTCTCTCTCACACGCACACACACACACACACACACGCACGCACACGCACACGCACACACACACAAACACACAAAGAAAAGGAAAAAGAAAAAAGAAAAAGGGCATTCCTACATGCACCTTTCTTGAACCACGTTATTATTTAGCCACATTTGTGAACAAGGACGGTTGCTTGTTATTTCACTCTTTCATATGCATCTTCAACTAAATGTTTGATGCTTAATCAATAACAGTCACACAAATTGTAAAATACCATTTTCTGCAATGCCGTCTATAAATTTATCCACACACTAAATTCAACCGCCCAAAATATGCCGATGATGATATCATGCAACTGAATTATAATCTTCATAAAAACCTAATGCAACGAATGTTATGACACGCAAAGTTATGCAAATAAGGATGTTTCTTTTCAATAGGTCGAACCTTCGACATAATTTTTTATTTTTTATTTGCAAAAATAGGGTAAAAAAGGGAATTGCACCTAATAAAAGGAAGAACTATGAGAATATATGTCTTCACAAGAATTTGCAAACATATGACTTTTCCAGGAAGAAGGGCAGGATGGGTATTTCATGCTAACATTTCATGATAAAAAGCTTAGGTATGGTAAAGCTTTCAGTGATTGCCCAGTCTAGCTAAATATAGAAATCCATGCTCGTGGGGAAGCATGCATTTGTAGCCAACTCACACACATTTTGATGCCACATTATGTTGGCCGCTCACATTAATGCCCCTCCTTTTCATTTGCCATCCAAGCTTTACTTTTCCCATAACAGTATAACCACGAAAACATTCGCAAAGCATATTAACAATATACCTAAAATGAAAGTTCGTACCTCTGGTCCACTAGTGCGTATGGTAGAGAATCACTGCTTCTGTTGAATAACGTGTTTGTGTCGAGTAACCATATTATACCTGTTGATTAATATGTAAAAGGGAGTCAATTATTCAAACACAGAGATCTCCTCCTTAACCACCACACAACAAACACACACACACACACACACGTACAGAGCAGGACACACTTAAAAAAACAAAAACAAAAGAAAAAAAAACATGAAATTAACAAAGATGAGAATTTAATTTGGTGCTCACTTTTTTCTGTGACTTCACTAAAAATAAGTACTTCCGTTGCTAGTTTCGATTCTAAAACCGCATGACCTATGATTAAATGCGATAGAAAAACAAAACTAACCACTCAAAATTGTGTACCGACTCATAACTCTCCCCTGTTGATCACGAGATCACTGGCAATATTGTTTGGATCACATTCGAATTTTTCGAGATACATACTGTACGCAGGATCATAGACAATGGCCTTGTACCAGCACTAAAAGGAGCCAAATCACCGTAGTTTTATTGGATTAACTGGAAAAATAATGACAGGAATTATATTTTTCACTGGTGAAATAAAAGTTGGGGTGGTCACAAAAAAAAAGCCCAAAATGTCAGCTTACTCGCAAAATAAAAGGCCTGTTATCTTTCTAAATTACACTTAACATACATCTAACTGCACCCTCCAGAAGAGGTAATTTTTGGACAAAAAATAAATTTTGAGAGAGCATAGTGATTTTAAATGATAACTAGTTTTATTTATTTAGTTATTTATTTTTGTGAGCATGTGCGATACACAATTATTCTATATGGATATACCCCAGGAGTTGTTTTGTAATTGTACTAAAATGGCAAACATGAAGAGATTAAGTTTTGGTGCTGTCATACCCTGATAGGACAAGTAGACCTTCATTGTAGTGAGCCTTGCTCTTGGGATGTTCAGGCTCTTCTAGTTGAGCTATTCTTTCCAGGTGCAGAAGACCCTCTCCACCTTTTCCTGAAAAGGAAAAGAAAAAATAACAATAATAAATAAATAATGGCATGAAAAGTTGAACTTGAAGGTACCTAAATACCTAATATCCAGGTTTCAGGCGTTCATTCCTAATGCTAGATCCTGAAGTTGCTTGAAAAATATACAGTAACATAAATATTATTTCACCAAAATCAAGAAAGATATATATCTTTCGGTAAAGCAATTGTCATTATTATCCCTTTGAACTGTGATGAGTTAATATGCAAAAGAATCATCGTTTACCTACTTCAAAATCTTCATTCACACTCTCCAATGCGATGGGTGCTACTAGGAATCTACATTCTTTTTTAAGTAATCGATGAGAACAAATGTAGGTTATGCTAGATTACGGGATCAATAATCAGAAGTTTGAATTACATTCCGAGGTGAAAAGGAAATCTATTCTGCTGTAAGAGGATGAAGACAGAACACATGTTATAACAAGCAATTCGTGGGAAATTAGGATCCTCGTCATTTTCATTCATCTTCAGTGGCTCCAAATATAAACAATGCACAAATGACCTTTTTTATATAGCTTATAGTTATTATAACTTAATACGCTAATAAAATGAAACCCTTAGAGAGTATAAAGCACAAACATATTCAAAAGATTATGGTCTAGAGTACTAGAACAATGCCAATTTTCAATTCTTTTATCCGAGTGGTCTTTCTACAGAACAGTTTTATATTACATGAAATTAAAAGTGATTAAAAGAGGAATGAGGCTATAACATTGGAAGTTAGGAAGGTATTCAGCTAGTACCTGGCGCACATTTGCAATAACAGCCCATATAGATGAATGAATTAAAAGATTAACTTGTTCAGTTTCTGTAGGATAGCCAGCCTCAAGGAGCTGCACATGAAGGGAGACCATAAACCTTAGTCCAGAATAATATTGGAGGGGAAAAGCTCATGGTTAAATTAGAAAACATGTCATATCTGATAAAAAGAGGTACACCACAAGCAGATCATGAAATCTTTTGATAATGGGTTAACCCAGATACAATTTGAAGGTTGAATATAATATTACAAATTTGAATCATACCTTTGAAAATCACACTACAACCATACAGCAGCCTCAGCAAATTGGTTGTTTTGTAATAGCGCCTGCCCCATTGTGAGCAAAGCTCTTACATTCCCATGATCCTTCATTAGAGCAAACCTACAGGTCGTTCAGCTAAGGCAGCATAAACATTGACGAGAATCCAGCCACCGAAAAAAAATGTTTGGTTTACCTAATAATCTGAATGCGGTATGCTTGTGTTCATCATTTAAGATTTCGATTGAAAACTGTTGAAATTTGCTGATATAAATAATTAGAAAGCATCTGTAGAACATAAAGCATTTTAAAGAAGAACTATACAGCACCATCACACACAGCAACTAACGCTGCAGGTGATAGGTCTACAGCAGGGATTTCTCCTGTCTTCGTCAATATAAACATATCTGCTACTCCCAAGCTGACTCTTCCTGTATTAGAAGAAGCTACTACCAGAGCATTCTTCCTACTTCCTAGGAAGCCCCAAATAATCAAGAAATCCAAGATGGCGAAGGCATAATAGCTGAGAGCAACAGAAATCAATTACAACAGTTCGGAAACTTAAACATCTGTCCCATGGTAACTTTGGAATGACTTATTCCTGCTAGAAACAAACGAGTGGAAAAATAGAAAATCAGATAAGAGAAGACAAGAACATGTATTCTTTCTCTCATATGCTTTGCATAGAAAGGGTGCAGCCACATATTAATTTCATCTTGGTTATGTGCATCGTTCCTAAATCAATTTCCTAAATTTAACGGCAACTTTTTAAGCACGTCATTTCAACATCAAATTCCAAAATCAACAGCAACTTTAGTGGAATCAAATGTCACCAATATGAGCTCACATTCAAATTCAATCACATCATAGGCGCTTCCAGTTGAAATAGAAAAAACTCGTCTAATTTTCAGGACAGCACATACCAGCCTTTATCAAACTCAATTAACTATTTATAAGCCAATGTACGAAGCTTCCATGCAAGTATGACCAGGACAAATGATAGTCAGAGAAATAAACCAGAGAAGAAAGAACAACCAAATGATAGTCACATGATATTCTAGCAACATGCATACATGATTTATAGTAACAAGAATGAAAAGGAATGAAGAAGAGGCCACAGGGTTGCCCCGTTGGTTTCGTCATTGATAGACTTCGCTTCCAGTGGAAAATAGAAGAGCTAAAAGAAATTGAAACAGTAAATAATGGAGCTAAATCATAAAACTAGATGCAAGCTTTAGGACATAGGTATGGAAATCTGGACAAGCAACCATACATGTAAGGAAATTTTGTAAGCAATCATGGGCGGCTGGGCGCAGGTAAAACACTCACATGTAGGTAACACAAATGATGATAAAGGAACATAATTAAAATCTCGTTGACATTCTAAATGATGATATTATTCTCCACCTACAAAATGAGTTTGATTCATTTTAGCCCGCGATATTAAGAGTACCAGCTAGAAAAACAGTCAGTAAATGCTAGATGTCTTCTCTTCCCAAGGAAACAGCATCAGGGAAATTTTAGTAAGTAGGCCAACAACTGAGATCAAATATTGAGTAAGAAAATCAGAGGTAATTACCATAATAATTATTTCAACACACATGAAAGTACTCGTGATTTGAAATTAAGAGAGCATGGAACTCGAGTCCAATTACGATCATGGATACATGGACATGTGCGGGTGTGCTAACGGACAGTAAAACGACCAGTAAAATAAATAATATCCACCTACAAATGAGTTTAATTCATTTGATCTTGCAATATATAGAGTACCAACCACGCATATCAGTCAGTAAATGCCAGAAGTCTTCTCTTGTCAAATGAACTGCATTAGGCAAAATTTAGGTAATAGGCCAAAGCAGAGACAACTCTCATAGTAGCTATTTCAAATTTTCAACACGCATAAAAGTGCTCGTAGTTTGATAATACGAGAGCATGGAGCTCGATACTAATTAATATCACGGATACATAGTAACATAGACAAGTGAGGGTGTGCTAAACTGAAAAATGAGCTAGACAATTCGAGCTCACCAAGGTAGGCCAGTCGGCATCGTGATACGAATCCAGCAGGGATGTGATAACTCGTACTGGCTGAATCAGCTCATCATATTTGGGTAAATGAAACTCAGTAGTGAGGCGAGGACAAGCGCAGCTCCGGCGAGGGTTAAAGCTGAGCTGCCCTTTGCGGTGGTGCTGGTGGTGGTGTGAGCTACCGAATAGACAATAGGGGTGTAGATGAAGAGGACGCGTAGTGGCCGGATAAATGTTGGAATGGTGGAGCGGCGGCGACGGCCAATCGCGGTGGAGTTTGGATGTCGGGAGTCGCCATGTCCCGTGTCCGCAGAGCTCGAAATGGGGAGGATCTGATGGGGTTTAAGAAATTTTCGTGGTGGAAAGTATGAAATTCCCGGTAATGAGATTTTCAAGTACTTTTAAAATTTTTTAGATGGTCTTTAGGGAAGACCAAAAAAAAATATATAATAACAATAATAATATACGTATTTTGTCTTTTATAGGCTCTTTTTCAAAATATAATAAAAAGACAAAGCATATAATATAAAGTGTATACGAAAATTTATTTTGAATTCTAAAAGTTTGTTTTAGAAGATATTAGTACAATTCAAGAATTTTATACTGGAAAATTATACTTAAATTTTTAAAAAAGTGTAAGATATAAGTTTTTTATTTAAATTTTATATATATTTTTTTTAAATTACATTATTTATAATTAAAACGATGTTTTTCACTTGTGATATTCGGTCTTATATTATTATATTTTTTAATTCATATATAACAAATGTATAGTTGCCCTTTAGAATTAATATATAATTATATTATTCAATTAGTATTAAAAATAACTTAATTTTATAATAAATAAAAATAATTATTTATTTGATATACTATATACAAAATATTCGATAACAAATAGTCAAATACACAAGCTTTGAACTTTAAAATATTTTAATTTTTTAAGTTAATGATGTGTTAGAATACACATCTACGTGGGCTACTCCGAATTACAACTGTGCATATACATAAATGTAAGTTTATATTTCACGTTTTAAATTATTCTTACAAATTTAGATCATTATTTGTATTTAAAATGACACTTATCACCTGATAGCTTTTTTTAATGTCATATTATAAAATGAAGTTAATAGCCAAATTTATTTAACTGATAAATAATTTTATTATTTTTTAATTAATAGTTATATATAAGTTAATTTTGTATTATATAAATAAATATACATAATTATTTATATAAACAAGGATATCAAATCGATGTTCGTTACGAGAGGATGGATTATAAAGTTGTAGTTTTCTATTGTTTTGTTCATGCTTTTCAACATTCACTATTTATTAACTTAAATATTGTTACCTAAAATTATGATTTGCTACAACTATACCAATTCAATTATAATGTTTATATTATTTCACACAATTTTTAATTTTGAAAATCTTTTCACATTAACTCACTTTTTTTTTTTCATTCACAATTTTGTAATGAGTTGATAGTTCCACTAACAAAAATTTTATGGAGCCATCGGATAGTTTTCTTATGGAGCCATCAACCACTTAATGTATTGACACTTGTCCAAATTGTATTTATTGCTGGACACGTGTCAATACACTATTGGTGAATAAGTGTAGATGGCTCCATAAGCCGAACCATCCGATGGCTCCATAGCAAAACTGGTTCCACCAATTTGTCTCTTTTCACCCTTTTCATCTATTTTATTATGAATATTTATTTAAAATGGAAAATTACAATATTACCCCAAATTATACTTATTATTAATTTCGGTCCTACTAAGGAAATGTTTTCGTAGTCAATAATGTTTCCCATTTATTTCCA